GAGATTTTCAATCACAAACATTCATCATTGAGAAATGTAGTGGAATGTGCTTTGGGTGTTTTGAAGAAGCTTTGGGCAATTCTTGATGCAACACAACATTTTGACTTTGACACAGTCAAGATTGTGATAGCTTGTTGTGTGCTTCACAACCATATCATGGGAGTTGATCCACAGGACCGGTACACCCGAGAAGGAATTCATGGGAGTTGATCCCATGTAGATTCTCTTGCACCAAGGCTACAAAGAAATGAACTAGCAAGGTGGTCCACATTTAGGGACCAGATTGGGTCAAACATATTTTGGGACTAGAGGAGACTGTGAAGATGATTAGGAGTTATAGTATATGGATTAATTGCACATCATCATTGTTAGAACCAATTTGTGTTGATTGCAGTTCTTATAATGTTTAAAACATCCAATTTATTTGTTTTATTAGATATCCATGACTTACTTGTTAGACAATTTAATATATCAGCAATATTGTTTAAACACCATATTTATGTATTGCACATGCTTATTTTTACGTTGTTGATTACTAGAGGTATTTTCAATATTTCTTTATGATAATGTATGTACATGTCTATGTGTTATTTATTTACTGCATGAAATGGAATACTTTTGGYCAGGGATGGTMTCTAGTAGAGATACAATAGGAACATCTATCAGTAATAGAAAAGATGGAAATAAGGGAAAGGATGTGTTGTCTATCTCTCAAACTATGTCCAACAAGGGTGATCGAAGTCAAAAAATAAGATGGAATGATGCCATGGACAAGGCATTGATTGAGCTACTTGTTGATCAAGTAGCATTGAGCAATAAGATTGATAAGGGGTTTCAGACATCTGCATACACATCAGTATGCAAGGAGATGACTGCCCGCTTCAATATTAATATGAAAACACCCCATATTAAGAGTAGAATGAGAACATTAAAACCCATATACATGGAAGCCAAGAAGCTGCTCGGGACTAGTGGCTTCGGCTAGAATGAATCCAAGAATCAAATCATAGTTGACCCAATTGTTTGGGATGATTAAATCAAGGTAAATGTGGCATATTTGGTTTTTTTAATTAATGTTTAAAAATTAGCAACTGGTAATGATGCCATCTACAATGCAGGCCAATCCACTTGCACCGTAGGGTGATGGAGATGTTTAAGGAAATGCAAACAGTTTTGGGAAATGATCAGCCTATGAGTGACAAGGCTATGGTAGGGTTTGAGAACATGACTGAGTGTAATGCTGATGTTGATGGTGCTGAAGAGGATGACCCTGAGTTCAATGATGATGCAACAACCCCCACTGGCTGTTGATGAATTCATCTGTGAAAATGGCACCCAATCAGTCTCCAACAACAACCGGAGGGCAGGTTCCTCAAGCTAAAAAAAAAGAGTGTATGGATCAAAACCGAAGCCCAACTAGGACTTTATTGATGCAATTGACATAATGAATATTACAATGTCAAAAATTGCATATGCACTTACAGTGGAAACTGAGATGGATTTCTTAAATCATTTATGGAAAGAAGTTATGGACTTGAAAGGATATGACATCCAAGTCCATAACATTGTCTTTGGGTACTTAAGTGAACATGAGACGAAAACAAAGATTTTTCTTGCGAGGGACAAGCATTTAGGGCTCAGATGGTCCTATCCATCATATCTAAGATGACTGGTTTTGGTGGAATGCAGTAGTACCTCTTCTCTTATTATGAAGTTTAGACAATGGAGCTTTAACACTTCTACCCTTTTTTGTTATAACTTAGGTTGATGCACTTGCTGATAAAACATATTAATTAGTTGGTGGCAACTATAGTAGCTTTTAACACTCTTTTTAGTACTTACTTATACATTGATACTTTTGACTTGTTGATATAATGGAACTTTCTTGTTATATCTCTTTGTTTGTAGTATGTCATAATTTGTCTGTTGCTTTGCAATGTACTAACATAAGCTTGTCAAAATGATGAGGTGTGTAGGATGAAAAAATCCTATGTTGTGTTCAAGGGAGAAAGCCAGGTGTGTATGATTCATGGCCTTAGTGTCAAAAGCAAGTTGTTGGGTTCAGATCGAATTCTTATTGTTCATATAACAGTCGAGAAGAAGTTGAAGATGTATACTATAAGTATTGTGAAGTACAGCTGGATACAACATATTCCTTTGAGAAGTTGGTTGCAGAGTCATCCACATCAACAATTAGGCCATATCTGATAGGAGGCATCATTGGATTCTTCACTGGGATTGTGGCATGGGGGTTGTTTAATTAGCCAAATCATTTGGAAGGTTATATATATATATGAGAGAGAGAGAGAGGGAGGGAGGAAGAGAGAGATTGATAAATAGATAGATAGAGAGAGATAGGGAGATGTGTGAGGGAAAGAGAGAGATATGGATGGTTCAAATGCAATTAAACTAAACACTAGGTGTGTGTGTTTGTTGTCTTCTGTTGAGCAGGAGATGTGTGAGGGAAAGGGAGATGTGTTTGTTGTCACATTATCATTAGCAGGTCACTTATATTGAGCAGGAACCMCATGTTGGATCACTTATCATTATCATTATCATATCTGATTTTATCATCTATTATGGATCACTTATAGCAAGAACCACATTTCATCATCTGTTTTCATGTAGCTATCCTTTGTGTTCATTACCGGATCAGATAAACTGATCTCATCATTGTATATTTATTAGTTGTTAGCAGGTCACTTATATTTATCAGGCCTCATTGTTTGAAGGCTGAAATGGCATTCAATGATTTGTAAATGGATTGATTAGTAATTGTGAATGCAAACTGTTATCAGGTATCATTGTTTGAAGGCTGACGATACCTTCAATGAAATATAAGTGGATTGAGTAGGAAATGTGGATGGATTGTTTAGGGTGTGTTAGAATATCTCATGTTTGAATGAAATGTGAATGGATTGAATAGGAATGGGAAGGAGATCCAACAGATGAGCAGATATAGAGTGATATAATTATCATTCTCATATTTGTTATCAGATGAGCAAATATATGGACTGATATTCAACAAAATATGGGTATGCCCATATGGTCTACATCATCTTAATCTGAGGGAGATCCAACCCATCATCTTAATCTGCCCACAGATGTAATCGATGCAGAATTGGATAATAGATGAGAAAACAAGTCTATGTACGAGCTTGAATTCAAAGAATATCGATGATGGTGTGGAACTTCTAACTGTTTAAGCAAGCTCTTGTGTAGGGTTGCAATAGAATTAAGAAAATTTCTCTCTCCTGCATGAAAATTGTAAGGATTCCTTCACACTAATTTAAGCCAATTTCCACCAGAAGAAACCTCTCGTATATGAAAGATTGGTATGGATTAGCCACCACTAGCTGAATTGTGGACTCAGGACTGTAACCAATTTGGCCTCAAACAATATTCGGCCGAGCTCAATGCACATTTTCTATCACTATAGTTGTAACAATGGACAGTCCAAATTTCTTGCACTGAACTGGTGGTTATTATTGGAAAAAGCACACTAGGTAATTAGAACATTTGTGTTTACTCTCATAGTTTGCATCGATCTCAAACAAACGATAGTAAATTTGTGCTCAGATTTATATAAATTCCAAACAAACGAGAAGAGTGCAAAAACCATACTAACTTTTAAACCGATTTTGCACTCACGAACCGGGATGAGTCCAAAAATGCATGGTATTTGCATTGGAAATAAACACAGCCTTAAACTCAGTTTSGAACAATACAAATGCAAATATGTACGGTATAAATACATATAAAGTATAAAAATATACAAAATATAAGGTTTTGCACTTTACATATTGGCATTTGTACTCCTTCCAAACTGATCCTTAAATTCTGGTGATGAATAGTGAAGTGGGGTTCAGGTTGAGATTTGAGATCTGCTGATGTGGAAGAGGGTGATACCGTCACCGACGGGGAGCCGGAAGATATTGATGCTTAGTACTGTTAAGCTCCAACATGAAATCTCTGTAATACCTGACGTACTTGCAGAGGAGTGCGACCGATGGACTGGCGGAGCCACCACCGACCCATTCCAGAGGATGTTGTCGTACCCAATTACACCCCCGACCTTCACCAGCTCTATTAGCTTCTTGTGGTAGTTGAGATAGTTGTCCTTGTCCGCGTCAACAAATATGAAATCGAACGTCCCATGATACTTTCCCTGTAAACCATTATTAATAAATCCACTGTTTGTTATTTATTTAATTATTAAAGGAAGAAAGACTAAGAGATGGATGGTGGTTGGTTTATAAGGAAGAAAGTATTAGTTATTCACGCCTTCGATCATTTTGGTCGAGAACAGGTAGAGCAAGGCCTTCCTGAAAATTTGATCTTGGAGTTCAAACTTGTACTGCTGCGGACATTTAAACCCTAATGCAGAAAACGTTATAGCTAGAGAGAAAAGAATGTATTGAGTTACATAGAAAATGATAAAATTTTGGAAAAATTTTTGATCAGTACCCCTCTATTTTGATTCAAGTGATAATTTGGTCCCCAAACTTTAAAATGTGATAATTCAGTATCCAAACTTTCAAAATGTGACAATTCGTACTTGAACTTTTAAAATGTGATAATCTAGTATCTATCGTTAATCAGTCATTAAGTGACATTTGAAAAGTCAAAAAATGTCTTCTAATTCTTTTTATCAACCATCCAAATATCATTGACAACAAAATGAATAATCCCAAATTCTAGATTCTCCTACATAATCACCAACTTTTTTGAATAAAAGAAGCTATGATTTGGGACTGTTTAGTTTTTTCTCAATGTTTAAATGGTTAATAAAGAGAATTAAATGACATTCAAATGGACATTTTTGATTTTTCAAATATCACTTAATTAAGGAACTGATTAATAACATTATAACAAGTACTGGATTGTAACATTTTAAAAGTTCGAGCAATGAATTGTCGCATTTAAAAATTTGAGGACTAAATTGTCACTTGACCAAATGTGTGGTTATCGGTCAATTTTAGTGTAACCCGGTCTTGTATTCCTATCCGGTCCGGTTTTTAGACACTGTTGTCTGTATTTTCGAAGGAAAACTTTCGTCTTCGTCAGTGATTTTGGGGAGACTGGGGAGACTGGGGTGACGACTGACGAGTGCGGAGTGAAAGCAGAAGCATTTTCGTTGGAGAGTTGGAGGGACAGCCATGGAAAAGCCTCTTGTAATGCTCGATAAGGGCACAAATTGTTCTTCCTGGAACTACTGTGGCCAGAGATTGGCGACGGGATTGTTGGATGGAACACTTGTGATTTTTGATTCTCTCGAACCAGATTCCTCGACCTTCACCTGCACGTCAAGAACTAAGGTTCGTTAGTTGGTCTTATCTCTTCTTTCTATTTTTTTTTTTCTTTATAGCGAAGTTGTAAATATAATAGACCAAAAACTTTGTTAAAGCTTCCGCTTCTCTTGATGGAAGACACAACTGAAAATCGGTATAATCTGTCCGTTCTTGGTGCAATGTGGTTCTCTTGTGGAGTAATTTTCTTCCAGTTTGAGAATTTTTCTAATTATTAATTTAAGCACCGTTAGTTTTTTGAATTATTATAGTTTCAACTTTCATATTTACTCTGGTCGACTTACATGGCTTTTTCCATGTTTTAAGCTTTAAAAAAAGTAGCATTCGTATATTAGTAGTTGCTCATGTTCTATCTGAAGGAATCAGATCACATACCTCTAAGGTTGTGCTCAACATCTTCTCTCCTCAACGACCTCATTACTGAGGGGTAATATAGTAAAGTTATCATTTTTCTTGAGATCAGTCCATGGATGACCCGAAATGGAGACTTTCTGGTGGACTATATACCTAAATGAATTCAGCTTGTTGAGTCACTGTATGCAATTGAACCGGTCATGCAAAGCCCTCAATAAATTGCCAAAACTTTTATTTGTTACTGCAATTGCTGCTGTCTGTGGTAGCATTAGTCTAAATACTACTCACAAGTAATTGTATGCCTTATGCGTAATGAAGCAGAGAAAATGATTACAAACATGTTTGTCACTTGTGAGTCAGATTTAGACCATTGAAATTTCTTCTTTTTTCTGTTTTTCTCTTCAAAATCTTGGTTCATCCCAGCAAATATGAATTATCTTTGTGAGCGCTGACCTGTGGTTCTTGATAAGGCCTAGCCTGTTTGAAGTGGCATGCCTTTTGTATTGTATTGAGGCATTTGGGGGGAGAGAAATTTTAGGATCTTCATGGTGAAGAAGTAGCATCCCATGAGGAAATAGTTGGATCCAAGGTTTAAAGTATTGATACAGTCCAATACACCGAATAGGGAGCATTGGACTTTAAAATAACATTCTTTTATTTTTTACTTTTAGTTTTTTCTCCAAACATGTTCAGGGGGTCTGGCTACCCCCTGAAATAGGTTAACCCCGAAACTCCCTGTATTTTGTGTATCGGTGGGTCACCAATACGATACATATTGGCCGATACATTGCAAAATTTTGATTCTTGGTTGGATCTATGTGCTCAATTCTTATTCATCATTTTTTTTTTTTAAATTTTGAATCTCAAAGAATTTGATGGGGTAAATAAATACCATTTTGAGCCAGGTCCTTTTTTGTTTTGAAATAGAGAGAACTCTGGCCACAGCTGCCTTGTTTGTATCGTAAATGGATGGTATTTGTACAAAAGCCTTTTTTTATGCTTTTTGAGTATTATGCTAATACCTTGTATGCTATTTTCTTCTTGCAATGAAAATTTTGTGACCTATGAGAACTTATGAACCAAGGTGGAATCCATAGTCATATCCTTGCAAGATACAGTTTGGAAGACAGCCTTTCTGCTTCTTTAGGGCCCATTAGTAAGGATTAATGCTCATGTTCCAATATTCAATTTCTGGTTGAAATGTCACTTTTGACTTTTGCATACATTTTGTTTTTTTGTCCTTTTCATTTCTATTTAAAAGCACAAAATAGAAACCTTAGGGTTGAATGCATGAAAGAGGAAGAGAAATTGGGTATGTGTATATTTGTACTTTGAATTGGAAAAGAGATATTTATAAAAAAAAAATTAGAAAAGAGACGCATGTGACATCATGCATCCCTTAATTTCTATTTAAGGGGACTATAATTTTGTTTTGAAGTTTTGTATTTGACCCTTTAACAACAGCATTGAGCTACAAGAAGTAAATTCTGCAAATTCATCCTTCAAAGCTTTCGTGTCCGAGAACAAAATTTTTCTTTTTACAATCAATAATTTTTTTTCTATTTTACTTATTATAAAAAAATCTTTCATGCACAACAATGTTCTAAATTTTCCCAATATTTTTTCATTTAACTTTCTTATAGGCACATGGAGCAAGTATTACAAAAGTTATTTGGGTTCCTCCAGAGTATGGTGATGCAGTTGCATGCATTTGTGCAGATGGAACATTATTGCTATGGGAGGAAGTTGAGGAAGGTATAGGGTTATTTGGTTCTCAAATCAGGAAGAACTCCTTTGGTTCAACTTTGTATATCTTCAGTTTGCAAGATTTTTGTCTCTTTTCCATTAATGTTATCAATGTGGTGAGGTGATGGCCTATCATTTTGGCCTCTCTAGTTAAATGACTAGTTCCTGCAAAGATACTGAATAAGTGATGACAAGAAGATATATTCTAAATTTAAGATATTGATGCAATCTCTTAAACAAGTTAAATTAGACTGTAATTATGCAGGAAAAGAATGACGCTGAACATTTAGTTTGTAAGTTTTGTTTTCCAAACATAAAGAAGTTATGCTGGATAGACTAGGATCAAGGATCAAAATATTGATATGCCTGATACCAACAATTGGTATTGGTGTGTATCAATGATACTCTTGCTTTTTTTTTTTTTTATCAGCATGAGAGGGATGCCTTCTATCATCTCAAAGTTTCAAACCCCCCAACCCTGTGTGTATTGGTGTATCCACATGTCTCCTTGACTACCAATGTGGATACGAATACAATATGCCCGATATGTGGTATATTGTATCAATATTTTTGATCCTTGGCTAGGTAGGGACTAGGGAGTTACAGCCTTTGTTACCCAACGAAATTGGGGAACCTTGACTGTTTAATATGCCCTTTGTAGAAACCTTTTACCAGCATATCATTGTTGGAAGAAAACTTGAAAAAATTCTTCCACTGCCTTCTCTTTTTTTATGCTTTCTTTCTATTTTTGAACCAATACCCAAGCATGTCCCATCACAAGTTTTTAAAGCAACAGCACAAATATATTCTATATTATTTCAAATAATTAGAGATAAAAGAAAATAAAAAAGCTTTAAAATTACTTTGTGGTTAACTAGGATGACTAGTTGTTAAATTGACTTATTGACTAGCTGACCTACTCGATGCTTAGTCATCCTAGGCATGAGTATCAACTGACTAGCTAGTGATGCAGTCATCTGGCCCTCAACTGACTAGTTGATGCTTTGAAGGCACTGTTTTTCATCTGATTAGTGATACATGATAATGTCTATATTCAGAAAACTGACTTGTTTCCTTGTGATAAAACATAATTGCCAAAAGTATCCCTCATCATTTTTTTCCTTTTTTTAATCAATTATCAACCCTTTATTTGTATCTTTTAACTTAACATTTTTTTCTAGATATTCTTTACATTTAGTACTTAAATATAGATCTTTTCTATAGCTACACATTTGACAATAAAGTGACCTCTCCTTTTCTTTCCTTTTTGTCTATATTTTAGGCCCACAACTTCTAAAATGGAAGCTGTGCAAGCTCTTTGAAAGCAATGCAACTCAGGTGCTGGATGTCCAATTCGGAATTTCCCTTACAAGTTTGAAAATGGTCAATGCAGCTTCTAACAATTTTGATCAGTTTTTTCTTTTAATTATTTTTATTCCATCAAACTAGGTAATTTTCAGATGAATGTTGATTCTTGGTTTAACAAACTTTTTATCTGCCATATTTTTTTTTTTCATTTTAATGATTCTTGGTCTAAGCCTTGTCCCAACTATATGGGGTTGTCTAYGTGAATTGTATTCCACCGTTCCACTCTGTACACCATTGTTTTACACATTAATAAAATTATTGTTTTATAAGGGAGGTTGGCTTACCCTTCTTAAGGCTACACTCCCTATCCTTCCAACTTATTTCCTTTTGTGTTCAAGATGCCAGCCAAGACGAGAAATCAGGTGGAGAAGCTTCAACATGATTTTCTTTGGGATGGAGGAGGGGAGAATACTATAAGAGGGATCATTTGGTTAGTTGGAACTTGGAAGGAGGCCTGCAAGAACAAGAAAGAGGGAGGCTTAGGGTTGGCTCACTTTTCTGAAAAGAATATTGTTCTCCTAGGCAAGTGGTTATGGTAATCCAAGAATAACTCTCTTTGGGCTTCTGTGATTCGCAGCAAATGTGGAGGTAGCAGATTAGGCACGGGCAGAACTCAATCTCTGAATAGATTCTTTTCGGCAAATCATTGGAAAGGCATAACCCTTATGCATCTTATCTTCTCCTCCTTATATTCAGTCTAGGTGACCTAAACCTAATCAAAATTTGGACTGGTCTTTAGTGGGAAACTCAACCTTTTTGTGTGTCATACCCTAAACTCTTTCGTCTTGTCCTAGGCAAAAAAGCCTTGGTGTCCTCAACCCTCATCAGAGACGGACTGGGATAGCATATAACTTCAACTTCCATAGAGACCTCACAGATAGAGATCTCCTACCTAAATTCTCAAATTTCTGAAGTCTATCTTTCTCCTACCCTCCTAGACAAGATAATTTGGTCATTCACTCCTAAAAGTATTTTCACAATCAAATCCTACTTTGAAGGGCTGATTGCTGCTTCCACTTCCAACTCTTTTCCGGACAGAAAAATCTGTCTCTGTCTGTTTTCTTCCAGATTTGCTTTCTATGGGAAATAGCTTGCGGCAAGATTAGCATTTATGGTCATGCTTGTGTTTCCTGCCTTCAGGAGTGTGAATCCATTAGCCATCTACATATTAATTTCCAAGTGGCTCATAGCTTATGTCAAGCTTTTTCCTCTCAGGACCTGATAAGAGATGGTAGCTTTTTCTGGGCTCCACCCAATTTTATCTGTGATTTTATTCATCAATGGCAGAGCAGCAAGCTTGGAAAGGGGTGAACTCTATTGGAAGGCAGTTATTCATGCTGTCATGGGGTGCATAAGAGCGGAACAGAAGAATTTTTGAGAATAAATGCACTAACCTGGAAAATCTGAGAAGATGTGCTGTGATCTTGGTCAATTCTTGGATGCTGACTCTTGGAGATTTTGCAATCATCTCCTGCTGCTGGTCAGATCAGCCCTCCTCTGTCTCCTAGACATTCCAACACCTTTATTTTTGCACTTCGATGGCAGAAGAGCCTTGGAGGTTCTCTCATTTTTATCCATGAAATAGCAGAAATCACAGCTACTATAAACTGCAAGTTCAGATGGATTCCAAGAAACCTAAATCAGGGATGGGAAGGGATATATTGTATAGTGCTAATAGATTACTTTGATTGACTGGGCTTTTTCTTTTTGTTGCTAAGCCCTTTTGTACATCATTCATGTACATCCTCCCTCGACTTTGTTTAATGAAAGTTTCTATTTCTCAAAAAAATTATTGTTTCTATTGCTGAATAAAAACTGTTTGAATTCTGTATGTGTATATATTTAAACTTTTCTGTTATTTTGGGAAAATTATGAACTTGGCCAACCTTAGACGGTTCCGTTTTAGGACAGCAAATTTTCAATATGTAAGGTGATGCCATCTTTTAAAAGTTAATTACAATTTGGAGATCATGTACGCTTGTTTAGAATCATTCTAAGTATGCATTTTATATGCATAATTTTGTATTTTTGGAGATCATATTGAAGGACATATATTTCTCAAATGGATGAAGGCAGTGATGTTACTGTCAATGGTATCGTCTCGATGCATTGTTTCCTCTTCCAATAGAATTTACAATTACCGAGGCCCTCAAGTTGGTGCAGTAAAAGATTTATTTGTTGGTTATTTAGTAAAATGAAACTTATTTATTTCCATGGAAAAATGATACATGTTAAATTTGTAATAAAAAATATTAAAGATTATAATACATGAGATTGGGAACAAAAACATATAGTGGGTTTATATTTACTGTTTCATTTCCCACTGATATAGGTTGTTGCATATTCAGATGGCCATGTTAAGGTTTATGAGCTGCTGGACCCATTGTTACTTAATAAATGGCAACTTCAGGTAAATCATGTTAACTGATTCTATCTTGTCATTGTATTAGGTTCTATTTCAGAATCTTGTAGGTTAGATTGTTGAGAGGCTGTTTTTCTTTTCTTTTTTGATGAATTGCTAAAAGGTTGTTTGATAACAGCTGAAGTGGCTGAACTGAAAAGCTTATTGCTTTTTGTCTTTTGGTAAGTTTTTGATGAGGCCGTGGGCTCCTTAATGCTGAAGATGAAGTTGAGTAGATTACTAATTTACTATACCCCTTGTGTATTTTTTTATGTAATTATTTTATCCACTAAAAGACAAAGCAATAAATTGTTTAGTTCAGCATCTTCGACCATTATCAAACAGCCCCTAACATTGATAGGATTTATGTAAGATAGGAAGGATCAATAAAATTTAATTTAATGTAAAATCTTGTTTTCATTTTTACACGCTTGTGCTTAACATGGTCTCCCTGCTAGTGGTCTAGTAATGGCACAGAACAACTAGTCAATGCAAATAGTGGCTGCTCAATTGGATGCTTATGATGGTATTCCAAAATGATTCATCTTGGGAATTTTGGCATGATTAAGCAGAGGAACTAGCCACCTCCTGTCCCCCACTATATGATTTTTGGCATTATTAGGTAGAGAAACTTTTTGGTACTCCAAAATGACTCATCCCCCAGCCCCCCCCCTCCTGGTTGTTTACAAGGCTGAAAATATTCATTGCTTGGCCATTGTTGAGCCCCATGTAGATTTGATACATGTACTAAGGATCTAGTGACAGTACCTTGTGGAGGATCTCAAAGAGTCCCTTTAAGTAATTGATCATGGCTACTATATATTAGGATCTCATAAGTTAATAATGGCATCAGTAGGACTGATTGAATAAGAAATCTTGTGTCATTGGTCTACTTCCATGATTACCGTATGGATGGGAAAGGGTGGATCTAAAGGAGAAAAGTGAGAGTAGGGTAAAACCAAGTAACCAGGAAGAAATTCTTGTAGAAGAGGTCTAATTTAAGGTGGTGAACAATGACAAAACCACACTTCTCAACTTGGGATATTTCAGTCAAGTTATGGAGATTCATGAATGGCAGGTAAAAGGTGTGTTGTTATGTGAGGGATGCACCTTTAGATCCACCCTACTTTAAAGGAGAAAGAAATATGAAATGTCTATTAGACTTTCAGATGCTARCGTTATGCACAAACCTTTACAATATATTCTTTTTATCTTTTGCCAGGCGGAATTCCAGAATGTAATTGATTCAGTAGCCATGTGTGGGAAGGCGTCATGTTTGTCTGCATCCATCTCTTGGAATCCTCAAATAAGTGAAAGCCATCATTCAAGTTTTGTTCTGGGTTTTAATTCAGATCTACCACAATTCAACTCGTCCAAGGTATATAATTCTCTACACAATCTTCCTTTTTCGTTGAGTTTTCTTTTTTAAAGGAAATGCATTAAATTGATGCTCCCAAAATCTGGTAGAATAGTGGATGTGTCTTCTCATGTAGGTTTGTAAATGGATTGGATCTGTGTATAGTCAAATTTGATCCAAATGGATTCTAGCCATMTGTGTGTCTGTGTGTGATCCTTGATAAACCAAGTAATGGTATCTTCTTTCTTTTTTTCTTGATAAATAACCTCATTTTATTGATTTTAAAAACTATTAATGGTATTTTCTTAGACCCATTTTTTTTGTTGAAAATACGTAGTTAAACCAGGTGTACATGATGCATACTCTTTGGGCCAATCCAAGTGGTAGATCCCATGTTTTTGACCACTTAAGGTAATAGTGCAACTTAGTTGGATTTGGGACATTGTCCAGTCATTTGTTAACTCTATTTTTATTTGTACGAAATGAATAAGGTTAGTGGTGGCCTGGTGGGTGCTTCAGTAAAGTAGCTAGCTTTTTCAAATGCAGAATTTCTTCATACTTGTAAGAGTAGGTATTGCAATGTTAAGTTTTGAGGTCCATGTCCAGGATTTATCTTTTGTGTTTTCAAAACCAGATTACAAAAAGAAAAAAAAAAAACAAAGAAGAATATTGCACATCCGTATCCCAGGTTTGCTTTGAAGACAAGTTCCGGTAAGTGCAAGTGAAACAAATGAAAAGATTATCTCGTTCTCATAAATATATACCACACAGGTTTGGGAATTTGATGAGGCTCATCAACGGTGGCTGCCAGTTGCAGAGTTAGCTTTGCCTGGAGACAAGGGTGATCAGGTTTATGCAGTTGCATGGGCACCCAATATTGGGAGGTAAGGATCTAGTCTGGTAAATTTGCAACACACACACAAATGTTCCTGTAAATTTGTGGGATCTAAATGCACTGTGTGTGTGGTTGCTTGTTAAAAATGAARGTCTTACATGTATTGGTGACCTTTGACATATAACATATGCTATGTTTAAGTTGATTATGACCTCAGTAATTTATTGTTACAATCCATTTGTCCCACGTTGCTAGTATGGGATGCTAATGTGAGATATCCCACATCGGTAGTATGGRATAAATGAAAGTCTTACATGTATTGGTGACCTTTGACATATAACATATGCTATGAGTTGATTATGACCTCGGTAATTTATTGTTACAATCCATTTGTCCCACGTTGCTAGTATGGGATGCTAATGTGAGATATCCCACATCGGTAGTATGGGATACTGTTGTGGTATATATGTGCTTGGGTTCCCTCCCTCTATTTAGGGGTGAGTTCTCCCAAGGCATGTATCAAATGGTATCAGGGCCTACACCATGCCTCCATGCCTCCCAGTTGCAATCGTGCGGCATGGGTGGTGACATCGGTATTGCAGTGTTTGGTCGGGGCTAGGTGGACTAGTGCAAAGCCAGCCTGCATGGGTGCCGGGATTATGGAGTGTGGTGAAAAGTTACAATCCATTTGTCCCATGTTGGTAGTATGGGATGCTAATGTGAGATATCCCACATTGGTAGTGTGGGATACTGTTGTGTGGTATATATGTGCTTGGGTTCCCTCCCTCTAACAGCTAGCTTTTAGGGGTGAGTTCTCGTAAGGCACGTATCATTTATCTTGTATTGGGTTAGGAATAGGAAAAAAATAATATGTTATGATAATAAAGTTTTTAAAACTTGTCTCTAGGCCATATGAGGTCATAGCTGTTGCAACATGCAAGGGGATTGCACTATGGCATCTGGGATTGAACGCTGACACAGAGGGAAGGCTTTCTGTTGAGAAGGTTGCATTGCTCTCTGGTCATGAAGGCGAGGTATGCATTTTGGACCAACAAAATAGGTGTGGAAGTATAAACTTGAACTCGTAGCCTGCTGTATCATTCTATCATTAATTGCCATAGATAATTCAAGTGTAGATCGTTAATTAGTCTACTGGTAATGATGCTTGTTTTTGTTTAGGTTTGGCAAATGGAGTGGGACATGAGTGGAATGACTCTGGCAACAACAGGAAGTGACGGGGTAGTCAGATTGTGGCAGTCTAATCTCAACGGTGTATGGCATGAACAAGCTGCCCTTGTGTCCACCTCGTAGAACCTCTTTCCCATTCAATATATTTCAATGGCTTTGTCCCATTCAATTGAAAATGTAAAGAACCTAGCTCAGCAGTATGTTAGGCAAAAAACTCCACCAAATGTTTGGAGTGGATACCGCTGGAAAATAAGAGCAAGTTCTTGAAGAAACAGTTGTCATTTCTAGCCTATTTGTGAAGGAGATATTAACATATTCGTTGTCACCTCTTACTCTTCAAGAGCGCCTTCGTTTTGACTTCAAAGTTTGTTTGGTTAGTGAGGAAGTGGACGGAAGGTCGGAAGCTTCAAACTCCATGTGATTGCTAGAGTTAGAAATTCAAATAGCCATCATCTCTCCACGGTGTTGCTGGGGGTTGGAGTGTAACTGTCTCTCCAATTGTTGGATGCCACCTTTGAAATCTATAAATCGAAATGCAGGTTTACAGTTTATGTGTGCTGCTTTGATATAGGAGGATTTCTTGCATACCAAGAGATCAGTGGGGGATTAACTGAATCAGCACTCACTAGGCCTCAAATTTTGTAGTTGGAAGAGATCATAAAATTTTAAGTACAGTGTGAAGTATGGATACAAGTATTTCACTAGTCAGAAGGCTTGGTGGATGGGGTGAAAACCAAAGACAAATTGTCTTTTCTTGAAAATCAAGATAGAGTCTACCATATGCAGTGCAGAGATGGAAACTTGACAACACCTATTTTTCGAGTGCCATTATACCAGAGCAATCTTGTTTGCAGCCCAATTAGGAATTAACCCAGAAGAAACTCAAGGATCCCAACCAACTTTGTATTTTCGTTTCCATCCGGATTACTTCAAAACTAAGCTCTGTCAAAAGAAGTGAAATCAAAAAGCACATAGCAAAGCCATTTGGAACCAAGCCAACTGGAGGAAAAAGCTGAAACTTACTGGCTTCCATGATTCAAACTAGCGTATCAATGGTATTCGAAAATCTGATTTCGAATTCGAGATTTGACATAATCGAATTGAACTCAAATAATTCGAATATCTAATCGGTCGAATTAAGATATCCTATATAGTTAATCGGATTCGAATTCGGGTATGACCTGATTCAATTCAATAAATATCCGAATTTAATAATATTTAAATGCCTTATATAACTTATATATAATAATTAAATTATATAAATAATTTATATATTTTATATAAATAAAATATTTATTTTATATATTTATTAATTAACTAAAATAATTAATTTGTCAAATTTGAATTGAATCAAATATTTGAATATTTAATTGGATTTGAATTCGAATATAAATTTTTAATATCCATCAGATATCAAATCAAATTTGGATGTCAAGTTTTCTAATCAGATTTGTATTCGGATATTACTTGATCCCATTCGAACTTGGTCCATTTACACCCCTAATTTAAACCAAGCCCAACGGCCTCCCATCAATCACCTCCTATTTGTTCATGATTTGTATTGCTATCTAAAGATTTGAATATTGTACATACAGAAAGCAGAAGAATTCATGCCACTACCGCAGTTCAAAGCAGAATGGTGGCTCCTCGTTGAGGGACTGAAGAAAGCCACGAGTTCGGGATCAAGACTCTGATCGTTTTTTGTGACGCAACAGGTGTTGTAAATATGATAGAAGATGAAGCAATAGTAGATTGGAATGTAAAGCATATTCAGGAGGAGGAGGAGGTAAGAGGAAGTAGGGGTGCAAATTGATTGGATCATGATCCRATTCTATTTGGTTGAATTTGGATCACATCAGTTTGGAAGTAGGGGTACAATATATTATTTATATTGTTTTTTTAATTTGTTATATTATTTATTTTTTATAAAAAATATGTATATATATATAAAAAATAATTAAAAAAATATTCGTATTTTTTGTTTTTCTTTTATTTAAATTGGTATGCTTTATTTTTTCTTTTAATAATTTATTAATTTTTAAAGAAAACAAATAAGATTGGATCAGATCTGAATATCCGACTTCCCAATCAGATTCAAATTTAGATTCATGTCTATTAGATCAGATCTATAATTAATTGTTCTGGATCAAATTCGGAAATACCTTGATTTGAATCCGGTCCGATCTATTTGCATCCTAAGAGAAAGTCAGGAATCAGTTAACTTTTTTTTGATAATATATATGTAACTCATATAAGTAGATCTCTGCAAACTCATCTACCCATGAACTAGTTTGTAAATACAACATAATAGTATCTGGTGAGGGCAGTTCAAATCTGCGCCCCACTGGCTGGCGCCCTAAAAATGTCCCACGCAATTAGAAGCGGCCGCATGTCCTCCCACACGCATGCACTCGTGGGGAGCTAATGGGGCCATTAGCTCGGTAACGGAATCTACTCCATACAAATGGGCGCCTCACTGGCACATATATCATGCATTGGGAACACCTCCTGTTAATAATAATTGAAGATGTTCCCAATGGGACGTGCGTGCGAGGCGCCAGGAGTGTGGAGCAGATCCGGTCTCATTAGCTTTGTCCCGTTAGTTATAATTTCACCCGAAACTCAAAAAAAAAAAAAAAAAATCACCAAAAACTCGATCTTCCCCCTTTCCCGCTCATACTCTCGGTCTCACTCCTTTCGACTTGTCCTCTGAAACTCGAACCCCTCCACCTCCTCCCCCATCCAATTTTGCCCAAAAATCTGACGTCGACGATTGTTCTAGCATATACATCGGAGGTACTCCCCGTCCGGCAACATAGAACAGGGGATGTACAAATAGAAAAAGTCAATTCAAAACAGAGAAGGTTTCATCCACCACAGCCATCTCCGGTGACCACAGGAGCAACAGTAAATAGAGAAGGGGAGGGTGAAACCTCAAGATCGAGGTTCCTAATTGGCTCTTGCAGCAAGCTCACTAGAGTTATCTCCGTCAAAACGTCAACTTCTTCGTCCCCCAATTCCTTTAAGATCGAAGCCAAGAAGGGCGAGTGGTTGCCTGTTTGGCCTCGCCTTCATATCTGGCAGGCAATCTCTACAAGATTCAGTCATCTGTGTGCTATGCTTTCCCTAAAGCTTCCTTATAGATTGGGTTGTTGTTATTTGAGACTTAACCAATGCCAATGGTCAATGAACCTCAACGTCTTCTACTTCTAACAAATTGATATTGATGACAGACTCCAGGAGACAATGAATTTGATCCTTTGGGACTCGCACAAGACCCCGACAACCTGAAAATGTTTGTCCAGGTGGAGATTCAAAATGGGAGGTGGGTCATGGTGGGTGTCGCAGGTATGCTGTTGCCCTAAATCCTCATCAAGATTGGCATTATCAATGTACCAGCGTGGTACGAAGCTAGAAAAGTTGAATACTTTGTGTCATTTTCTCCTCTATTCGTGATTGAGTTCATCTTGTCCCATTTTCATGTTCTGTAATCATGGATTGGTAGTATTTGAGTGAAACAATCTTTAACATAGAAAAATGAAACCTTCAATGTACAAGGGAGTAAGAAGACGTTATTGCTGTAATTCAATCTACATTTGCCTCTATTCTATTATTACTCACAAAATTGGCTTCGCAGACAGAAGAGAAAGGAAGAAGTTCCCTATATATATATATTTTACTGCTAAAACAACATTTCCAAAGAAAAAACATCCATAAAATATGAAGATGTTAACCTGAATTTGTATATATTATTACCAACATTTCGGCTCACGCTTCACCTACCTTTGTTGGACTGGATTGTCCAATCCGATCCAATCCAATGTGAGTCCATTACAAATGGATTAGGTTCAATCCAATTCAATGTTTAGATCATCCAATATGTTCAAATTTGTTTTAATTTAGACTAATTCTAACCTTGACCTGGTCCACTACACCTATATTATGGACCAGATATTAGCTCAATCAAACTCAATTCAATATAAATTCATTATGGAAGGACCAGGTCCAATCTAATCCAATATGTCTTATTGGCCCATCTAATCCATCCAAATTGATGATGGTTTGGACCAAGTCCAGTCCAAGACCGGTCCATTAACACCCTTAATCCTGGGGCCATTTTCTCTGCTGGAATGGGCCTCCAGCCCAAGGGCTTCATGCATGATTACTTTGCGTTTTATTATTATTATTATTTTTTTTTTCAGTTCTACTTAATTAAAGGCATCTAACTATTCTTTTTCCATGGAAGTGGAAGTTCATTAGGTAAAAGCAGGCATTTGAGATTGTCAGAATCAGAAGATTACATAGAAAGGGGGAATCTTTTGGGGGTTTCTACCACTTGATCATGGCCACCGTCCATTGATTCTCAGAGCATAGCTTCACACTTTCACAGCTCTATGACTCTTTTCTTTTTTCCTACATAGGCTCCTAATATTTCATCATCAACCCAGAGCATAGAGTCTCAGCTTACAGTCTTGGATTCTACTTCTTGCTTACTTTTGTGGGGGGTTACAACTTACAAGTATGCTCCTTTCGTTCAACATTCATTTCATATTTTTGGAGTTTTTCTTCCCTGAATAAAATGCAGGGGTTTCTTCTGATATGGTCTTGCGGACTGCTGTTGAGAATATAAGAAAACTATAATTAACCATTTCCATTTTCCATTGTTTTCAGGAGATTTGTAATGTAGGAAAGATTTTTTTTTTGACTCCGTTTATTTCAACGTAAAATGGATGAAATATTTGTGCCATAATTTTTATGTAAACTTTGATTCACTACTTCAAAACAAATTAGAAAAAGTTTCTCAATCTGAAAAATTTTACGTCCATTTACTCAAAGAACAAAACAGGACTGTTTATTATGAACAAGTGCTATTTACTCAAAGAACAAGGGAGATTTCAACTATTTAAAGGATGCTTTACATTTGTAGTTTTACTTATGGTTGTATATAGATAAGTAGTTGTTTTCATACATATAGGTAGAATGTAAGCATTCAAACATCATGTGTTTGTTTTCCGTGAATTATGATAAAAAAAGATAATTATTAATGATGAATTATAAGAAGAATTACACCCCCTGCATCTAAGAACCTCAAGTGGGGGGGAAAACATGGACACTATTTCATACTAATTAAGCCAATTGCCTGCTGATTCTTATTTCAATTGCTTTATTGCTTATTTCAATAAAATGTCTTAATTTTTTCTTTGATTTACATCTTAATTTTCTGGTATTTTCTTTTATCACCTGGAAGTTCTGGATTCAATTAGATTTTTATATATGGTTTTTGTTAAATTTGTGCAAGAAAATTGCTAGAGTGATTCCATGATTTTCCTGGAAATGTTGATAAATTTTTGCTGGTTTTGACATTAATTAGCTGTTTATTTACTCTAGGTAAGAGATAAATGCTTCTTTCATTTATTAGAAAAGCATCCTTGTCTAATGTTGGCTGGCTACATGGTGGAGCTGAGCCTTCACTCGTTCATAATGCTGGGGTTGAGTTGAGGCAAGCTCTGAGAAAAAGCAAAGGATACACGCAAAAGAAGTCATCTCTGAG